GCAAGTGCCGCGCCGCCGTCTAACGCATAAGCATTGGTACGGAACCCATAGGAAAGTAAACAAAATTTATACTTATTGTTAAATTCTCTATAAAATATCTGATAATTTGATATGCATATGTCTAATGATCATTTTTAACCGCCGAATGGCATTTTTTTTTACTTTTTTCATTAGATCTCCGAAACCGCTAGACCTGCCTTCATGAAAATTTGATCAATTCTACATCTTGTCAATACAAGTAAAATGTTTTTTGAATTATTCAAATCGGTTGATCCGTGTTCCCGAAATCGTCGACGAAAATTTGTATCCGCACATACATACACACACATACACACACACACACACACACACACACACACATACATCCATTTTTTCTAAAGTATGCCAAAATGTTCAGAAACCTCTGAAACGTAAAGATATATAAAAATTTTCATTTTCGATTTTTTTGCGATTACTATAACTTGCCCTACGGGAAGTTAATAAAATGGTCACCTTAATTTCAGAGAAAGATATTTTATAGTTTTTAGTAAAATTTATATTTTATATTCAAGTGTTTATATATATATAGATATTATATATATATATATATATATATATATATATATATATATATATATATATATATGTATATATATACATATATACATATACATATATATACATATATGTATATATACATATACATATATAGAGTAGGGAGGGACACATAGGCTCAATTTGACTTTAAGCAATTGTATTGTGAAAACCAAACCAATTATCTCACAACAAATATTTCATATCAAACAAACAACTATCCGACTGTGTTCAGTAAAACTTCCAGCTAATTCGTCATGTAGAACTTATTTGCTGTTTTTCAAAAATTTGTAAGCTGGTTCTTTTACCCCATGGGGTAAATTGGGACGGCCAGGGAGCAAACAGGTCCAAATATCTTATTTTAATTTTAATGGGATTTTACAATATAATAGCTACATTATAAAATTTCAACCAATGCATAAATAAATAATTTTATGCGTGCATTTTTTACAGAGACAACACTGTGAATAACTTTGATTTAGTATTTTGTCAGATATATTCATCAGCAGATTTTAAATAACTATTTATTTAATTTTTCTCTTTTAAAATTGCTCTTGTTAACTTTTTTATTTGCTATTTTCTATTTTTACACTTTTGCAAACGTAAAGGTTTAGTTTGTCTTTTTTGCCCCATCCAGGTGTGAGCTTTTATGAAGGTTATATAAAAAAGCTGTTGAATTTAACTTAAAAATAACAATACATCTTATAAAACAATGAAATAACGTATACTTGAAAAATTATATAAAGGTCTCGTAAGCTAAGCAACAGTGTTAAAAAACCAAAACAATGTGATTTTTAGTTTTACATCTTTTTCTCTCTACTTTCAAATATAGTTGTTAAAAAAAATTCGAATTAAAAAATGCTTGTTCGAATTCCATAGTATTTGTGTATTGCATATGCGATTCAATAATATAAATCTCATTTACTAACTAATTGTAAGATATTCTTACATACAGGGCCGGTCCTGCCTTAGGGGCGCCAAAACGAGTTTCGGAAATTAAATTTATAATATAATATTTATATTTTTTATATAAAATCTAGAATTATTTATTTAAAATCTAGAATACTTAATAAATTATAATAAATAATTTAACTTAACTAGGGATACGGAGACACTAAAAGCATATTTATTTTGCAATGTGATATCAGTAGAAACAATCAACCGATTAATAGTTCTGCAAATTAGTAAATAACAGCTCTGTTTATTGCCTAATCTACTTATTCAATTTTTTCTTTGTTTGAAGTTACTGTGGAATCGAAAAAGAAATTATCTAGTGTTCAATCCCATAAGCGCAAACCTGCGAAAGATTAAATTAATTGTTGGGCATTATTGACGAAAAATTGCGAGCTAATTTAGTTGAATCGGAACTTGTTAAAAATTATAAACAAATTATAAAAAATGGGGGGTCAGTGCTTAGAAAATGTCTTGTTTATTCCGAGAAATTGAATTGTAACTTTTGCTTTAGTTGCAAATGTTTCGCATCTGTTGAACTTTGAATGTTGAAGACATACGTGGAACAAATATGAAAAATGGAAGCAAAATTTACTTTGGAACGAAAATTTGGATATTGTAAATGATGAAAAATTAAATTAAATTAAAATTTAAAAAATCCAACATGAAATACGAGTGTTATGTTTGAAAATTAAATCGATTAAATATTACATACAAATATAACATACGTTAAAAATAATTGAAAAATCCAAAATACTTGATTATAATCAACCACCGAATTGCCTCGATTTTCTAAATAAATTTAGAATCAATATATTTTATACGCTTTTAGATTATATCTAATTTTTTGTGCACTAAATCCAGAATAATTAAAAATTAATTTATTTATTTCACTCAATATTTTTGTTAAATTAAAGTCATACAATTTAAGAAATGCATTTCAGAAATACTATTTATTATTTTGATATCAAGATCTTTACATCCTTAACCAATTTACTACATATTGAACATTACTAAAATATGAAATTACGACAGGGATTGTTTTATTTATTGATATCTATAATAATAAATACATTTAAAATCAATATATTTTATACCCTTCTAGATTATATCTAATTTTTTGTGTACTAAATCCAGAATAATTAAAAAATAATTTTTAAAAAATATGTAAATATTCATATAATTCTAATGATAAACTGTTAAAACGGTGAAAATTATAAATAAACGGGGGGGGGGGGGCGCTAGAAAAAAAGTTGCATGCGACCCCAGGACCGGCCCTGCTTACATAGGTATTGTCATATATTTTGAAAGGGTATAGAGTTGGCTTCTGCAATAACACTTGGAGTCATTTTTAATATATATATATATATATATATATATAAGTGTATATTCAATTAATCTTAATGAATGTAATGCATCAATTATTAACCAAATCGGTTTTGGAAATTTTAGATTCCTATTAGATTGCCTTAGTTACGATAGAGTACGCGTGGAACATATTTGTAATAAAAACCCTATTTAAAAAAGCTTATCTCGATATAAATTCTCATAAAGTTTAAAAGGTGAAGTGAATTGGTTTGGTAAATATTTTATATACGGCATCTGGACTATCCAGACACTATATAGTTTATTGGTTCCACGTAGACGCTTCGAAACCGCAATAAGTTTACCTAGCACGGTCTTGTTGACTTAACACGTAAGCAACCGTTCTATCTTGAGAATAAGTGGAAATATAGCTGCAATTCTTGGAAAGCCTTACATGCTTATCATAACTTATAACTATATGATTAGTTGCTCACCACGTTCGATTTCGTCACTTGACGCAAACTTAAATGTTTTTGTAAATAACTTCCACTCGGCTCTGTTATTGCAGTGTTAATGATTTCGCACGTCGATGCAACAATATTCATAATTTAATTGCAATACATTAACCTGCACAGCGGTCGTCAACCTGTTGTAAACTTGTAGAAATTCAACTTTTAATATCAATGCAAATTGCTTGAGATCTTCATTATATTGACTAATATTAGGTGAATAATTTGTTGTGTATATTACTTGAACAGCAATCATAACTTAAGAGTTCAATAAGCTTTGCTGATTGGATTTAATACGTCGGTTTTACAGTTGGCAACTCAAACAGTTATTCCATCTCTGTGTGATGAATTTTATTATTACAATTCCTATAATTTATTGATGCATCAATAAGGGATATCTTCAGTTGGAAACGTATTGCTATTTATATCTCCTAGTGAAAACCGATGTCACCACTGCTTGACATCAAGCTGTTCGATGCTGGATCGAACTCGGGACCTGTATTCAGGTCTAGTCGTTCTAATCACTTACCTACGAGCAAGCCAAAGATGAATAAAATAAAAAAAAAAAAGAATTTTACTCGTTCAGTATGGATCTACGGATATTAAAGATGTTTTAAACTAAAATCGCATATCATTTTATACGTATATATATTATTATTAGTTATGTTTAAAGATCGGGCGTTACATCAAATCAAATTGGATGATTATTCTTTGAAAATTTATTTGAAATTTATTCAAAATAATCGTAAAATAATATAATATAATATCCTTGTATATTTTAATCAAATATAGTACATATGTGGCATTCTTGAAAATGTATGATTTTTTTTCATATAAATTAGTTATTTAATTTTTAAATATATAATCAGGTATGATTACATTATTTTTAATTTACCTAAACCAAACATATATAATTGAATAAAACGTAATGAAATATAAGTTGCGCTTATTCAACCTACATAAACATTTTACAACGTATACAAATAGTATCTAGTAAATTAGATATTATTTTAAATAGACGCTAAATATAAAAAGATATTTGTTTTAAATCGAAAATTCATTTATAAACATTGATTCCAAACAGCAGATGTTATTTTCTGTGCAATCTATTAATAGCTACACATTATAAAAGAGTTTCAATTATTTCTGGCAGTTGAAAAGAGTTTTGTTTTGAAAATTCCTTCTAATTCTATCGCCGCTTTTCTCTGAGGCGACCGAGAAAATCCTTGCGGTTTTAATATTTCAATTTACGACTAACAAACGAGATGGTTTCTATTTTGAAAAGCGTGGCAATTCATTGAGTTTGTCTTAAAATAAATTATTCCATATTCTACATTTAAATATTTCTTGTTTGTTATTACTGGAAGGTTTAGAACTGTATTATAGATTCCAATGTTGTTTATATTATATATATATATATATATATATATATATATATATATATATATATATGCGCGTGTGTGTATGTATGTATATATACATGTAATTTGTAATTAACAAGAATATAAATTGCAATCTTTGAAATATGCAAACTGTTGCATCTTTACAAATTATACACACAGTTTTCTAAACCTCTTGTTATTGTTCACGTGCAAAGTCAAAGTATTATGAATATATAAACAAATAACTTTTATTTATCTTTAGATTTATTTTAAATTGCAGTATTTTGACGAGGACAACGCAGCCAGTTCACGTAGTTGCTGTAGTGGCCGTACTTCTAATAAGTTCTTTGGTTTATCCATCTCTAGTTCACAGTAACCATCGGTTACAACCGGAGCCAATGGTTCATGAGCAAAGTACATTCGCCAATTTGTTATATTTAGCTGCATTCTGCACTCACTTTGGTACACAAGTTTGGATGACATTTGTCTCAGGTTAGTATATTACATAAGGCTTTGGTACATTTTTGTATATTCGAATTACATCAACGATCTCAACAACTTTTGCTCTAATGGGTTTGTCTCAGCTTTGTTACTGCAAATGTATCGTTCGCGTTGGACATCTGTTATTTATTTGGCCTTTTACCAAATCGCGCCTGACATGGCTCATGTAGCTTCTTAAAGTCAGACACATATGACTGACATAGCGATTAACGAGTTAATTAATACGTCACTTGATTCTAAACTATTGAAAAATGTATTAGTTTCATTACATATATGAGTTAATCGAACTCATTTCTTATAATAGTTTTATAAGTATTTTATGTGTATAGCTAAAGCCCGGAGCACACGGCGCCAGTATTTCATGTAACAGGATTTCTGTAAAGTTTTCTAGTAAGGTGAGCAAGAATTTTGCACCAGATTTTCACTTATTTTGTGATTAATAATAATTTTGTGCATTTTCAAATAGATTGTTATAAATATATACTGTGGATATGACAATTCATATTTTATGGTCCTAAAATGCACTAATGCTTATAAGCGTACAAACAGAGCATTGTATAAAATGTAAACAATAAACAAATATGCAGTGCTGGATTTAGGGGCAATCGGGGCTACTGCCCAGGGCGGCAAATTTTTGGGGGCGGCAAAATTTGGATAGTGAAAAAAAAATTCTATACAATATAATCAACTTTTTTTAGCAACATTTTTTATTTCAAGAAATATAATTAACAAAACAAAATACGATTGCGATGCAAAATTTGGGTTGAAATAACCGATTATTGAAATTTATTATTTTGCCTTGCCTCCCTCACCGAACGTAAATTATCAAATTGGTTAATAAGTCATTATCAAATTTGTCAATTTGGCTAATATAAAGATCCGTAAACAAGCTGAAAGTTTAAGAAAAATATTTTCTTCAGTTCTCGAGCCTTCTTAAAATGACGAATTTCTGCACTTCCAAGCTTATAGCTTTAAAAAAAATTTAAACTAGTGACGCATGGTATTGTGCCTTAAGACAAATTATTGAAACATCCCGTACTGAAAATTACATTTTATAAAGAGCTTTAAAATTGAAAAAAAAAAATGAAAATGAAAAAAAATTGACTTTTAAAACACATTTTTTGTATTTTGAAAATATGAACTTTTTGCAAAGCAATCGCGCTGCGTAGCTGTTTCAGAGAAGAAATATCAAATCACAATTACCATTTTTCGTAATTCGTGCCAAAAACTAATCAGCACGTCTCCCCATCAATACAAATCTAATATTTTTTAATTATTCAAGTGAACACGGATCAACCGATTTAAATGATTCAATTCCTATTGTTAAGAAGACGTGCTGATTAGTTATTGGCCAAGGCAGGTCCAACTGTTCTAAAGATACGGGCCAAAATGCCAAAAATGATAATTTAGTTGTTGAGAAAAGAAGCGTCCAATATCATTCAAAAAAATTTATAGAATAAATAACTGCTTAAATTTGTGGGAGGCAGGTTTAGCGGTTTCGATAATCCAATAAAAACAATTGAAAAAAAAACATTTAGTGGACAAAAGTGATCATAAGACATATGCACATCAAATTATCAGATATTTTAAAAATATTTTAATAATAAGTATAAATTTTGTTTATATTTATATGGGTTATGTAACATTGTTTATTCGTTAGACTGCGGCGCGGCGCTTACGCGCTCCTATATTTTGTCCCTACGCAGCTGAAGTAGCGCGATTGCTTTAAAAAAAGTTTGAAAGTTCGTAAAATTTCAGGGATGGGGCGGCATTTTTGCCAGTGCTCCGGGGCGCCAAATTTCTAAATCCGGCCCTGCAAATATGTATCGTATCCGATTAGAATGAATCTATAAGATGATTTAATTTCATATTTTCAAGAACTAAATGATATAATAATAATGAAAAGATAATAAAAAAACTGCAGTTTAACATAACAAATATTGATTTTTAAAATCAGTATCGGATAATTGAATAAAATCAGTAAATCTTTATCAGATAATTAATATTGATATAAAAATATTAAAAAGATTATGAAAAGTTTAGTAAAAGTTTCATGTAAATTTAGTATTATGAAATTTCGAAAATTTTGAAATTTAAAAAAATATTACGAGTGAAATTTACATTTGTTCGCTTTTTTTTTTAATTTTCAGTATTTTTGCAAATTTCGATTTTTTTTAAATAAAACGATTTAAAATTTGTTTTTATTTTTTTTATATTTTCGAAATTTTTGAAATGCATATTTGATTTTTTTCAGAAATTTGAATATTTTAAAATTTGTACTGAACTGCGTTTCCCAAAAACTAATCGTTTTTTCACATCGCTATATATACACAATAACTAATAACAAAATAAAAACTGAACGCTTCCAAAATCGAAGTACGTTAATCAAGTACACATTGATATTTACCTGGCAAAATACGGCTTTCCTATTGGTCACTGAAAGTATCGGCCACAAAACAGTTCATCCATCGCCGGATAGAACATGCTCTATTCGTAAAATTCAGCAGGAATTTTCGAGGACAAAAGATATTGTGAAATCAGTTTCCGATGTTGCTAAGCAAGGGTTATAGACAGAAATTATGTTAAGGATACTGCCGTTGTGAATAGAGAGCTTAAACGTGAAATCTGCCTAGCAAGATCGTAAAATATGTCGGGCAAGATGATTTATCATATCGTTGCTAGGTAACAAACTGTCCGGCATCAGGACAGGAATTCTGGCGTCGTGTGCACCGGGCTTAGGGTAGACCATACCTTCTAGTTTAGCCGGGGCAGTCCCGAAGTTCCATCTTTCTAAAGCAATATTTTTATAGGGTTTTTCTAAAAGCAATATTTATTCCGGTTTTATATCTTTTGTCCCGGATTGTCTACGGTTTTCGAAAAGTATAGGTTTAAATTATTTGATAATAAAATTATAACTACCCACCAAATGTCTGAGAATGATATGTACAATGAGTTTGCTTATACGAAACAATACGTTTATGAATGAAAAAATTTACGAATACAAAATTCCAAAAGCGGGTTTAATTACCTCATTAATAATTGGAACTTTTATTTTCAATTTTACAAAAATTAGCAAAAATTATGAAAACGAACTTTTTGACTAATAGGCACAGGTGCTAATTTTTTCAAATTAATTATTAAGAAAATTGAACAAAATTTTATACGAGGCTCAAAAGGAAAAGGACATATAGATCGATAAATATACAAGATACAAGAACAACATCATATAGGTAAAAGAAGAGTAGATATTTTGTATAATAAAGTTCTCATTAAAAGCTCTTAATTCTGATTGAAAAAAAATGATTCATTTGAAAAAAAAAATTTATTATATCCATTAATAGTATTTTTAAATTTAAAATCATATTTAAGTAGTTTAGCATAAAGCTCCTTCACCTGGATTTGTCCTGGAGTGGCATAGCTAAAAATTGCAGTCTCGGTACTCAAAATATGGTCACCTTAATATAACTAATGCAATTAGATAATATACACATACGTTTGAGATTTTATTTTATTTTGATCTTTGAATTACTTTTTGAACATATAAAATTTGCTGGAGTTGGCACACTTCCAACTCAATGAGAAAAGTTCGTAACAAGGTTTTAAAGTGGGCATTTGTGTTATGTATTTATATAGTTTAGTGCATATTAGCGTTGTTTTCTGAAATTGAATGGAACAATAAATCGTTATTTATTAACTTCTCGCAGGGAAAGTTATAGTAATCGCAAAAAATCGAAAATGAAAATTTTTATATATCTTCACGTTTCAAGGCCTTCTGAACATTTTGGCATGAAAATATGGATGTATATGTGTGCGTGTGTTTGGATACAAATTTTCGTCGACGATTTTATGAACACGGATCAATTGAATAATTCAAAATTAGATTGTATTGACGGTGAGACGTGCTGATTAATTTTTGGGAGAGGCAGGTTCAGCCATTTCGAAGATTCGAGGCAAAAAGTACCAAAAATGGTAATTCAGTGCGATTACTTTGAAAGCATGTTCAATATTTTCAAAATATAATTTTTTTTTTTCAAAAAAATGAGTTTTTCAAAATTCTCAAAAAAATTTTTTTTTTTTTCAAAGTTTTAAAAAATTCAATTTTTGGTACTTGGAGTCACAGCAATTTGTCTTAATGCGCGATGCCATGTACCACCAATTTATAAATATTTTAAAAAATAAACATCTTAACTTTCTTTTTTAATAATTATTGGTATAAATGTTAAATCGGTCCCCATATGTAACTGTTCCTATTAAGCTTTGCCAATAAACTTTTTTTTTCGGAATATTACTGAATTAAATTAGATCTTCTTAGATAATATAAAATGTATAATTGTATGTAATTTTCAGGTCTGGCGTTATACTTCTCGCTTCCGAGACACACGTTTGGGCTTTGCCAGGAAGTTTTGTTCCCGAAATATTTCGCGTTGAACGCTGCGCTCAGTGCCGCAACCCTTATTCTGTACGCGCGTCGAGGTGCAACCACCGATTCGGTGCAACTGTTCGCTCTTGCATTCTGCACGGCGCTTGAGCTGGGCGTGCGCTTGTATTTAGCGCCGCCGATTTTGCGTCTGATGCGCGCCAAGAACGCCGTTGAAGCAGCGGCAGGAATCGGGAATGAAGTGGGCCAACTAAACGCTGGAGAACTGATAAAGAAGTGTCCACATTATGCGTCGCTGCACCGTGCGTTCAGAAGCGTACATGTTGCTGCGGCAGCAGCTAATGTCATGGCTATGGCTTGCACGTTTGTGCATTTGCATCATTTAGCTGGTAGGATGTCGGGTCTATGAGATGCAGAAGTTACTGTGTTATTTATAGTGAAAGTAGTCGTGTGAGTAATCACATTTTTATGACACTTTATTTACAACAATAGCGATTCAGATTGCTATGTTAAATTATAAATATCATTATATAGCAGTATTTGTTATGATATAGTTATAACTGAGTCGCTTACTCAATGATTGTAACTTATTATCATTGGTACATAAGCATTCTACAAGAATAGCTGTACTTTTTTATTTTAAATCTGCTATATTTCAAAAATCTTGATATTTCTTTCTGAATTGGTTCACAATTTTGAATAATTTTATTGTGACACTTTATAGAACCATTCTGAAAGTGTTTTCTTAATGATAATGACATTTATATGATGTAGTTAGTTTTAAAATATCATTAGCACTATAAATTATCTAGTGATCTTTTTAAATATTTTCTTAATATATTTTCACAAGCATTGTATAAAATTCATGGTATTGAGATAAGCGAGAAAATTCTAAAGTAATCATTACGTTCACACTCTTATTAATATGCTGATAGTTAAATAAAATTAACACTTTAATATTGTTTGTAATTTTATCAAGTCAAAATGATCCACAAAATTATTTATTATCAGTATTATTATTTATATTATACAAACTAAAGGTGCTTGTTATATTTTTGTAAACAAGTATATTGTCGAAAGATAAATCTTTAAAAATCTATTAAATTTTTTTTTTTTTTCTCAGTGCCTTATATTATTTTTGTGTTTTATATTATAATTAATATATTTTCAATTATTGCACATAATTGCACAAACTTCGATGTGTTTTATATATAAGAAATATTTAAATTAAAAAGCTCTCTTATTTTAATAATAATAGGATAGTTAAATGATTTTCTTTTGTAATGTTAACAATTATTGGTTTAGAAAGACAATGTGATATGTTATTTATTTATCTGAAAACTATTTACGTTTTTATACAATTTATTCTGTAATATTTTTGGCCTAATATAATTTCATGTACAATTTGCTATACATTTATTCAAATGCTTTCTCAATTTTAATCTCAATCGATGAATGCTATGTGATGTGATATAACTTTGATCAAAGATTATAATGTATTTTTGAGCACAAAAAATGATTATTTAAAAATATAAGATTTTGTTATAAATTAAGAACAAAAAATACAAAATCTCATAGGTTATGGTCTTGAATCAAACAATTTTAGATTTATGACAAATAAAGAATATTATAGTAAGAAGAATTAGTTATAAGAGTTATAAAAGTTTGTTATTTATAGTTAGGAGTTGCCATCACATCACTTTTTTATTTATTCATACAATTGAAATAGAATTAAGTGGATGATTTTGCTCAGTATTATATGATGTTTTTCTGTGTGTTATGAAAATATCATTCTATTTATATTCATGATAGGATACATGCTACATATAGAATAATTACAAATAGTTTAAAAAATAATTAATATCAATATTTTTACACATATGCTAGTCATTTTTGAAAATATTACAAAACGAATAATAATTACTCTATCGACACAGCAGTAGTGTTGGAATTTTATATGATGTTCTATAAAGTAGTATGTCTTCAATATAAATTAAAAATCAGAGGAGTATTTATTGACTAAACACTGAATTGTAAATATGTGTATAAATTAATTAGTACAATTATTAAAAAATAAATATATATACAATACATAAAATAATATTTTCACTTTATGTTTTTAATAAAACTTTCATAAATGGGTAGTACTGCAATAATGCAAGTCCGTAAGCTGAGTTAACTCGATTCAGGGAAGAATAGTATGAGAGATTCCTCATTGCTATCTCACACTGCAATTTCATTACTTGACGCAGGTTGTCTAGAGCAAGATTTGAACTTATGACCCCGTCCACACAAGTCCACGAGCTTGACTAAAACACTATGGAACAATCAAAACTACCACACTACATATAATATAAATAATAATTTTATTTACATTCTTTCTTATAAATAATAAATATAATTTTATACACAAAAGCAAAACGTAATCAAGGATTGATGGGCAAAAAATTCACTGGTAAAAATTTATTTAAAACTATGGTGACTATACGACCAGGTTTGGCTGGAACAGTCCTGGATTTGCAGCTTGTGTCCGGGGTTTTCCTAAAAGCAATAATTGTCCTGGATTTTGATCGTTTATTTCTTCCAGATTGTTCAGAGCTTTTAAATATAATATCGGTATAAACTAAATTTTCGCAATTATAATAAAATGACAACGAAAAATACCAAAAATTATAAAACAAACTTTTTGATTGTCTGGCACAATTGTACTTTCATTTACTAACAATATGTTTATGAAGAAATTGAACAGAATTTTATGCAAGGCTTGAATAAAAAAAACGTTCAATTATCTTGAAGTTTAAACTTCAATTAATTAATTAATTGAATATAACATATAATCAAATAAAAAGTCCTACTAAAAGTCAGTTTCAGTCCCACTAAAAAAATTTTTTGTTTCATATTGTCAAAGTTTAACTATCTAAGAATATGAGTACTACCATTTGAATTATTTTCGGAGATATAGGCATTTTACTGACCGGGTCTACAAACTGGTTTGGCAGTAGGAAGTCATTAGACTAATTTATGATAGTTTATCGTCAGATGAATTATGAATTGGATGTTTAAGTTCAGAAACTTGGATCAATAATGGATAAAAATACGTTTTTCTCAGAACAGACTTTTTCAGTACTGTTGCCACGATTTCTCGAGTTCTACTCGACCGATTCACTTGAAATGTTCAGAGAGTCTTGTTTATAGTCCTGTCTGTAGCCCGAACTAGTATCATCCCCAAATTCCAATTTTCACTATTTTTAGAAATTTGAGAGACTCAAACAAACAGAAAAAAAGACACTTTTTTTCAAACAGTCGCCCATTTGTAAAAAAAAACTCATCGCTAGCTGGGGCGATTGAGATATCATTGTAGACTAATAATCTTTTTATTTCTTTTATTTAGGATGTCTAGGAGGGATAAAAAAGATTTCTCAATTTCAAGTCTCAATTTTTTTGAGACCCCCCACTTTATCAGCTTTTTTTCAACTTTTTTTCAATTTTTGTTTTGTATTTTAATAATATTAATAAACAAGTGGTAAAAAAATTGATAGTAAAAACATTCATTGCTTTCTTTTACGGCACTTTAAAAATTACCTAAAATTGAATGAATCCATTGCTCTACACTAGAATACCCCCTTAAGTTCTTCCACCTCCATCACGGATTAGCATAATTATATAATTATAAAGTTGCTAGGACGGTTTTTATATAAAAAATATAATATATATTATATATTATATATTATATATTATATATTATATAATATATAATATATAATATATTCTAAAAAAAGTGTTTTTCTTTTGTTTACAACTTTCATAATTAATGAGAGGGTGATTTCACTTGTTTTTTGTTTAATTTTATTGAATTTTTGTGTTTGACATCAGTCAAAAATTAAAATTTGGATTAAAGTATTAAACGAAATAAAAAATATGAAAAAATATATGTTGGTAAGTGCAAATGTTATCTTTATGATTATATATATATATATATATATATATATATATATATATATATATATATATAGATAGATAGATAGATAGATAGATAGATAGATAAATATATATTAAGTGGTATTTTTCTCTTAAAAGAAGATAGAAGAAGATTTTACGTTTTCAGTCAATAGTTTAGATGAATTTTATATGACAGTTGGTTTCTATTTTATTTTGACTCCGAACCATGTGTAAAAAAATAATTAAGCGAATAAATATCTTGAAGTTTAAGTGAATAATATCATAGATAAGTAAACAGAATAATATTATATCCTAGATAATAGAATAATATATAGTGATAATGATAAATAATAATATATAATGATTTTATATTCAAATTGTGTCTAGGGTGAATAATCTTGATTTTAACAGTTTATGGCGAATGGTGCCAACATCCAAAATAAACCGAACGCAATATCACAAATCATCAATTGGCGAACTTCACTCTGTTGCGTCTGAACTCTTTTGTCATTTTATGTTGTGTTTGTTCATTTGCTACAGCCGGTATGGTAAAGATTCCTAAGGAGGAATTTTAGACTGATTACTCGCTAATGCTTTGTTGTCTTATTACATGTTGCTTGTAAACATTTAATCGGTCTTATTAGTTTTTAAAATAATTCATAATAATGGCGAGTGTTTCATATCAAATTTCGAATCTTTTGGAGAAGGTACGTTGGATATTGTACAAGAGAATTAATATTCTAGATAATGTTAATTTCTTAAACTTGTTGATTTACTTCGAATATCTTTCTCAAAACACATAAAATTTTCTTCGTTTCCAACGCAAGCATTTTCATCAAATAAAACTTGCAAATAGGTTATAGTTTTTCATTTACTTTTAGATGGCCTCCAATGACAAAGATTTTCGATTCATGGCCACTAATGATCTTATGAGTGAGTTACAAAAAGATAGTATAAAGTTGGATGATGATTCCGAGAAGAAAGTTGTACGTATGGTTCTACGACTATTAGAAGATAAAAATGGTGAAGTTCAAAATTTAGCAGTGAAATGGTGAATATTATTATAAGCTTAGAATAAATAATACAACTAAGACAATGAACAGTTGTATAATATTTAAATCATTGCTTTAAAGTTAGGTTTTGCTGCGAATATTGCATATTTTGTGACATCACAAAATGGCTTCATAAATGAACTTGCAAACTTTATGATTGCAATAATAATAATTGATATCTCGCTATATAAAAGATTCTGGGTACACTGAGACAAAACATTGTCATAAAAGAACTATAATCAATTATACTTGCACATTGATGTGATTTTTGAATTATCTTAATGATTTCACTATTTTCTTATAAGTAAAAAAAAAACAATGCTTACATTCTTGACATAAGCTCAGAGTTATTCTATATTCATAAATTTCATTTTATTACCATGATCAAGATGTATTTTATAACATTGTGATAAAGCAG